CTCGCTGATTTCCGGCCTTTGGATCTCTTCACATACTTTTCGCGACTGATGTGTAACTGACTGTGGACGCTGTGCATGTGGGGGCAGGTTTTCGCAAGATGCTGATCCGTTCTCCATTCTTGTTGTTGTTGTTTTCCCCTTCAACAATTGGTGGATAACGGATTGATCCCACGCCAAACCCTGCCCCTGACACGCCTCAGCATCACTGTAAGTAAAAAACGACATTCGGTTGATCTAGCCCCTTTTCTGCCCCTCTCCTTTCTGTATAGGCTCACCTGATCCAAAATCCACCACGCTTTGCGTATTCCCCAGGGTGGTTGCTTCGTGCTGTTCACCTTATCAGTACTATGAAGAGGGTGAAGAAATTTCCACGAGTGCTCTCTGAAATGCCATCAGTGGCGTCACATTTTTTTTACTGTGGACGTTCATACGTGTAAGTGGGGGTGGGCAAAAATCGAGAGCATTCTAAAATTTTGTTCCTCTGAAATTTCGTTGGCGGCTCTTCTACTGTTTTCGTCCTGATTAAAAGTCGCCCCTGTTAGTAAGGCACGCTGGGCGATTGTTCCGGTCCATGTCTTCTCTTGTACGACCAGCGCAAACGGCACCTTTATGACTGTTATTGACTTGTATGCCAAAATCAATATTTTTCCACTAGTCAATTTTTTTATTTTTAGCAGGCGAAATGGGGCGTGTGGGGTGAGTGGTCGGAATGCAGCGCAATATGCGGTGGTTGCGGCCGTCGGAGTCGCGTCCGTGGATGTTACGGTGGCGACAGAAAATGCAGGTAAGTTTTTCGTGAAACATTTCATGAGCTTCAAAGATTTTAGACCATTTGAGTTTTCTCCCTTCTTCCCCCTCCTAGGATCAAAACGTGAGTGTCTCGCTCTCGCTCAAAGCCCAAATTTCCAAATTTTGAGAAAACTTGTGAAGATCGTGCCAGGCAGAGGAGCATTTTAGATTGGGGTGGGGGGAGGGTTAGGGCTCCCTATTCTGCAAAAATTCTCAACAATGTGTTGGTATGTTCACTGTTTCAGAGGAATCGGCTACGAAAAGGAACCATGCAACATTCAGGCGTGTCCAGTTAGTCCAGTTACAAAGAAACCTGACATCTGCAACGGAAGAATACTGCTTCCATGCTTTCTGATGGAAAAACTGACCTTTGGTGAAAGGAGACAAGGTGAGTTTCCATCCTCCATGTTGTTCGAATCTAAGTTGAAATTGAAGGGTGGATTGCCATCTCATGAACTTGTGGTCCATTATTTGCGCCGACGGAGATTTTGTAGCCTTTTCTAGGCCTGGCTGTCGCTCGGGAGGGGATTTTGTCTTCCGGTTATTTCGTTGCTAGTTCACATTGGGCTGCGTCTAACTTTCCAGCGTAGCATAGCGTTCAGCGTACCGCGCAGCAGGCCGGGAGAGGATGCATGATATCATCTTAGCAATCCCAACGCACCACGTACGTTTACGCCCAAGCGTTTTCTCCAGCGTTTTACCGCTTTTGCTAGCGCTCGCAGCGGCAGAGTAGAAGACTATAGAGAGCTGGAGCTGTCACAAAACACATCGATTTGGCGGTCTCTGACTGCCACATAGGCTTACCCCTGCGCTGCAAACGCACAGCAAAACGCTGGGAAAACCGGAAACGCTAGCGTAACGCTAGCGTTACGCTGGTGACGCTGGGAACGCTAGATCGATATGCATCCTCTCCCCGGCACTGCCGCTGGCGTACGCTGGAAGCGCTACGCTACGCTGCCGCAAAGTATAAACGCAGCTTCAACGGGTCCCATTTGGGTGAGACTTGTAACCCTTAGGAAGTTGCGAAATAGCACAAGAGTTTGATTGCAAAAATTTGCAAGACTTCACAGGGTGGCCTGTACGATCACCACTGAGTACCATTTAGTGCCCCCACCTAGCCGATCTGCGCCCCTCTAATCCTTGTTAGCCGATTGTGGCGACGGCAATCTTATCATTTATTATATCTCTTGGAATCACACTTGTTTTAGCTGTTTACAGTTCGCGGGTTTTGTGGTCCACATACCAATTTATATGGGCTCACTTGTACAGAAAAGAGGGGCACAACCACAGAATCTGCCTTCAGTAAGGGCCCAGGATAGACGAAATGAAATGAAAGAAGCAACTTCCACGGGTGGTGCTCTTTCAGCTAAAGCACCCACGTCACTCCCTCCTAAGTCTCGAAAATGGGATAATCTGTAAGACTGCGTATTGGACTACCCGTGCAAGGGGAAAATTCTCTCCATCAGATAATCGCAGAATGTGCCTCAAAAACGACAAAGCCCTCAATCATTCGCCATCACAGATAGTGGACTAGGAGTTTGCATATAGACGACAAGGTGCTGAGTAACTCGATAGTGAAGAAAAAAGCAGAAAAACATGCCAACTGCCCTAGATAGAACCCCATTTCGATGCCGATCAAGTGACGGTTTTCATGTTTTTTCGTCCGGCAGCTTTGTTTTTCACTG